CAACTAACGATGAACCTTTTTAGTAAAGTCTTTTATGTCTGGCCCTGGGAAGTTGATTATTTAAGCTATAGAATACATGTAATGTGCTGGAAAGCTCTTAAGTAAAGGAGACAAATTAAGGTTACTAGGCCATTTTAAGAGTGCTAATTTTATCTTGCTTGGTAGAGATGGGCTCTTAGGTATAAAAACTGTATTTATGTGGATTAAAAGTGAAGACTCAAAAAGTACTTTGTAAGTGAAAAGCCCTACCATCCTGATCCTAATCATTTTCTAAGCTTCTCCAAGGAGAACAGAGTAATTGTCAGAAAATAGTTATCTGCTCTCTCACCTCCATTAGACAAATCAGTAGGTGAGATGGGGAGAGTCTGAGGACGTGGGAGCATGTAGTTGTTGAGTAAACATTTTAGGTCATTAATTATTAAATCAGCCCACGTCATATATTAACCAGGAAGTGCTATTCCTGGCCCTCAGTGATATTTGGTGAATAAAGAGTTTTCAGCCAAAACAGATATTGATTCCTAGGCTTAACTAAACCTAAGTCTAGAAAAAGATGTATAGCTCCTCAAGTTATTCTAATAAATAAGAAGAGTAGACTGTTAAACACAGTATAAATAAAATGGAATGCCTCTTTTGTTCTTTACCCATGAATGACCCAAAGGCTCATTTTGCACACAGGGAACTAATTGGTGGTAGCTAATCTGAGACTATTCTTCAGGAAGGTTCACAATACATCACATTACTGTGATGTGACAAACAGTTAAAAGTTTATAATTCTGGAAAAACCTGACTAATATCAACTTATAATAGTGATCATGGAGAAGTAATCAGCGAATAGCAGAAATGCTACTTGTTAAAAGTGCTGTAACTTGATAGCCTCATGTTAAGAGTGACATGTTAAAAGTCACCTTAAGTGTTGAGGAGACTAGATATGAATGACAATATCTTCTAAACCTTGAATTTGAGGTATTTTGTGGACAAAAATGTCACTTGTCAGTCAACACAAGCTAGTTGATGTAGGTGCAGCCCGTCCCTCCTTTCCTCTAGGAAGTGACCCTTACAATTCTTCTCCCTTCATTACTCCAAATCAGCCAGTGCCACCCTCAGTTGGTTTATTTATCTTCCAATCTCAGGTGCTCCAAAGGCTTATTTATAGTGGGCTTCAGCAAAATTTAATCGTGATACATTTATTTGTGATTGACTTTCTCCAAAGATAGAACATGAGCATGTCAGTAAAACATAATGGTCTCTAAAGGTTGCACAAAGTGTGAAGAATACCAAAGCACTTTAGAAAAGGAAAACGTCATAAAATACTTCTGGTTAAAAAGTAGGCCATGTTTTCTTTATCTAGTAGTTTAAGTTTAGCCACAAAGTACTTATAAAATGTAAATTTGGACCTTGGGGAGAAATGGTTACTGATGCTGGGAATAATATATGTACCTAGACATTAACTCCTAAGTTTCTATTTACTTTTAACATATATGCACAGAACACAAAGACAGTTCAAGTATTTAACTCATTAGTACTATATTTTGATCTTGACAAGAGGGAAGGAATAAGTGAAAATTGTGTTCAGATATTTTTCTAATGGCATTCATATAAAACTACCATAAGAGATTTCATGATACTGAAACTCATTCATGCAATTGAACCTAATGCTTTAATATATCGCACAGATAATGAAGCAGTCCTTATTGTTCTTTGCCCAGAAAAGAACTTCGAAAGTGGTTCCCTTCATATCAAAACAAGTCTATAAACTAACCACTAAAGCCTAATGAGTGCCGCTGAAATAAAAAAGTGTAAGGAGTCTTTAGAGTTTATCTAGACTCAGGTTCCCAAACCTAACAGATCATTAGAGACAGACTTCCTGGCCTCATTCTACACTTCCCAAATCAAAACAGACAGGGGTTAAAAATCTGTTTTCAATACTGACTAGCTTTGTAACTCCAAGCAAGTTACTAACCCTACTTTCTTCATGTAAACTGGGTTAACAGTAACCCCCATAGGGTAGAGTTATCAGTAATAAGGGTTTGCAGTCTAAAATTCAGTGGTTCCATACATAATTATGGAAATGGCATGAATTCATCGTACTTCATAGAGTTCAAACCATAATTTCTGGCTACAGTTGGAATCCATGCATAACTGTCCCAATCTCAATTGAAACACCATCACTTATATCCTGTCACAATGCAGAATCTAAATTCTTATTGCATATTTAAGGAAATTGTATTTCTAAAAGCTATATCCATTCATGAATGATTGTCTCTCAAGATTTATAAAGCTTTCCCAGCAGGTAATGGTGCTCCTTTACAATCGTTGACTAAAAGTTTAATAATGCTTTATAGGTTTCCCACGCCTAACTTCCTGCTCTATCTTTAGGTCTATATCATACCCCAAAAGTTAATTAACATTGCAATATATCATAACTGAACACAGTTAAAAGTCAGCTTTGGTTAGAGGGTGGTACTCTGCTTGTGGTGCTTCATAGATGTAATTTGAGAGATTGTTTAGTTTTTTTTTCTCTGGTAACCTTTTCTTAGGTGCACTAATGCTGAAGTACTATGAGCTTTCAGAACCTCTGGAAAGACTACAAAGTTCTGGTTATTATGGTACCTTTAATTGGACTCATACACTTGGGGTGGCACAGAATTAAAAGTAGTCCTGTTTTCCAAATACCTAACAAGGACAACGTTCCTGGGCCAGATAGTCTGCCGCTTGCAAGTTCTCAGAAAGACCACATCCAGGAAAAATAGCAAGGTTGCATACTGTGGGTAAGTTTGACTTAATCTGTAACCAAATGGTATGTTCCAACCAAATGGTGTGTTCCAACAATGGGAAACATTATTTTTAAAAATGCATTGAGTTCTAGCAAAAAAAAAAAATCCTAAATTGGTGAGTTACCAACTGATTTTATTATCTATGGGCAAAATATTATTCTATAGTTGCTTCTAGAAGATCTTGTTCTACATAAACCTTTGACACTTGCCTGGCAGCCTCATTTAGATAAAAAGGGAAAGGCCAGTCAGTCCATTACTTCTGTCCTTTCCACTAGCAATGTCACCAGGATCATGAATGTGTCTAAAGGAACAGTTGTCTCCTTGTCATAAATCTATTCTAGAGCATGCAAATCTATAACTTGCAAAAGGTTATTTTCTTTCTTATTCTGCTTTTTCCAAGACAAAACTAATTGTATTTATTCCTTAGTATCTAGTATTTCAGCTTCAAAATAATGTTACTTTTAAGAGTCATCATCACTTTCAATCATTTCTTTCTCATTTTATAAAGATATTAGTAGCCAAAATATGTGATTACTAGTCTTACTACCACAGGACTGTTGTAGGCACTAACTTCATTCTACTGAAATTCTACAGTACATTTCACCATTATGTATTAAAAACTTTTTTTCAAGAGAAATCATTTTATTGATCACAGTTTCTGTTGTGATTTGTAGTTTATGTGTGCCATAATGTGCAAATTAATGTATGGAAGTCACTTCACTAAGGTTTTATTTAAATGTATTCACGGATTTTTCAGAATCTAAAATAACCATTGAAATAATATTTAAGTACCTTAGCTGTTCCTGTCATAAGATGAATAGATATTTTTTCCTCCTCATGAACTTAAAAAAAATGACTATAACTTTATTATCACAGAGAGAAAGCTGGCCATCTTTGTCTTTATTTGGGCCCAGTTGCCATGGTTTAGCAGCTTTAAGTAAAAAGAGAGGAGTGGTAAACAAATTAACACTCCACATTTGCATTTCCTCATTCTAGTCACCTCTTTGTACATCTCAAGTCACCTTTTTAGTCTGCATCATCCTGTGCTCAGAACTTCAGTGAGTTTTATTTATGCTAAATACTGTCCAAGTGTTCAGCACAGTTAGCATATCCCTGAAAATAATAATTGGCTGAACCTTCACCTTCAAAGCACCAAACCTCACAGATAAGGTCTATGACTTGAGATTTTTATTCTTTCCATGCATTATTAAAGTGTCTGGATTTTATGCCTGAGTTACACTATTTACAGCCTATTAAGGAAAGTAGTACACGTGCTAGTGCACTTGTTATATGATAACATCTTATGGCATTTAGACTCTTCGAGAATGAATTGCAAATCAGATCCTATTTTCTCTGTCATCTAGCACATTTTCTGGATTTTGATTGTCACTAACCAAAATTTTGGGGAGGAGTAGTTGAGACCTAAAGTTTCCAAGCAAACCAAAGTTATAGAAAAAAAGGTAATACTAGATCTTGATATAACAGAATAAAAACATTTGGGACTTTTCTTAAGACTCTGAGACCAAATTCTATTAGTTTTATAATGTAGCACTTATCATCTGAAGCCTATCATATTCAAATAACTGTGCCGTAAACTTTCTAGCTGTGTTCTTGTACCTTCCAAAATCATTGAATGTCTGCATTTTTTCTCATAGGGATTTATTGAAGAATAAAGGAATGAATGTTTAGTCTAAGTTGATTTACATTTCTCATTTTCTGGAGGCTTGTGCCAGTTAATAGTTTCTTTTTCTAAAGAAGGAAAAGAGCACTAAAATAAATTATTAAGCTGAAATCTATAAAATGTTTTGGAATTATATCTCTAAAATTTTTTATTTTCTACAGAAAGAAGCTGCTTTGAATCTGAGCTTGATATTGAAAGAAGAAATGAAAAATACCAGTTGGATTAGAAAGAACTGGCTTCTTGTAGCTGGGGTTTCTTTCATAGGTGTTCATCTTGGAACATACTTTATGCAAAGGGCTGCAAAACAGTCTGTAAAATCTCAGTCCGCAAGTCAACAAAAGAATGTCAAAGAATGAAGTAAAATAAATTTTCGGAATTACTAATAATGTCATTAAATATTACATGCTGATTAGCTTCGTAAATGTGAAGCTATTTAATTTTATAGCCACAATGCTGCATATTCAGACTTTCATTCCTAAAGAATACTTTTTAAAAATGTTAAATAGAAAACTATGGTTAACAAAATAAAAGCTGTCTTCACAAATTGCCACCTGAAGTAAGATGTTTCGTTTGGAAGCTAAAAAGCCATCACTGTGTAAAAGTGAACCACTTACAAGTGAGAGAGTTAGAGCCACACTGTCTGTCTTGAAAGGAGTTTTAACATCGTGCTATGGCCCTTCAGGCCGGCTGAAGCAGCTGCACAATGGCCTGGGGGGTTCTGTGCGCACAACCTCGCAGTCATCAGCCCTGCTCGCTAACCTCTTTGTCACCCATCCCATTTTAAAGATCCTGACGACCTCCGTGCAGAATCATGTGTCATGCTTCAGTGACTGTGGCTTGTTCACAGGCATTCTTTGCTGCAATCTGATTGAAAATGTTCACAGAATAGGCTTGACACCCACCACTGTCATTAAATTAAATAAACATCTTCTGAGCCTCTGCACCAGTTACCTCAAGTCTGAGATCTGTGGTTGTCGAATCCCAGTCAACTTTAGTAGCACTCAGATCCTCCTTTGTTTGGTACGCAGTGTGTTAACAAGTAAGCCTGCCTGTATGCTCACCAGAAAGGAAATAGAACACATCAGCACTCTGATTCTCAGAGCCTTTTTGCTTACAATTCCAGAAAACACCAAAGGCCACATCATTTTAGGAAGGAGTATAATTGTACCTCTAAAAGGTCAAAGAGTTATAGATTCTACTGTGTTGCCTGGAATACTTATTGAAATGTCAGAAGTTCAATTGATGAAGATACTGCCTTTCAAAAAATCAGATTCTTTCAAGGTGGCACTCTTTCGTGTGTCTTTATCTGGAGACCTTTCTGATACTGGAGAAGGAACTGTAGTGGTCAATTATGGTGTTTCTCTTGAAAATGCAGTTCTGGACCAGTTGCTTAACCTAGGAAGGCAGCTAGTTGGTGATCATGTAGATCTTGTCATGTGCCAAAAAGTAATACACCCATCTTTGAAACAGTTTCTCAGTATGCATCGTGTTATTGCCATAGACAGAGTTGGAGTGGCTCTGATGGAACCGCTGAGTAAAATGACAGGTAAAGACACAGCTTTTGCCCCTTACAGTTAATAAATCACACTTTTTTGAACAGAGATACTCTTGGTGTGTGTCACTGTTAACATCTTGAAAAATTTTAGAAGCCGCCAACCTCACAGCTTATGCGAGTATCATTTCTGGCAGCAAATGTTTTTGGAAAAGATCCTATATTGTTCACTTATTAAATATTGAGTGATTATGGCTATTTTCTATGTATTTCCCAGCTCTAAGATGTACTATAGAGTCTGTTGTAGCCTAAAATTTAACCTCCAAATATCACAGATTTTTGAGAAGACTAACATCCTTTTAATCATAAGGCCTTTCACACTTTACTCAAAATTCTACTTGAGTTTTGTAAAGCACTTAAATCCTTCATGATTCAGAAGGCAATTTTGCAGCAAGGATATTCCCTTTTCTTCACTTTTATATAACTCCAGCAAACAACTGCACTGCTGCCTAGTGGTTCCTAATTAAGGGTGTGTATGTGTTCTAGCTTTAAATATCCCAAATATTTCCAGCTGAGCTCCATGAGAACCAGGATCATCTTTTATTTTCAGAGCCTACAGCAGGCTGGTACACAGTAGGTGTATCAAAATGTTTGTTGAATTAACTGTAATATAATAACGAGTTATTATAATAGGCAAAAATTCACTGTATTTCATGACTTCAGTAAATTAAAAGCAGATGTAAAGTTGATATTTACCTGTTAGAGCCAAAGAAAAATGATAAACTAAAGAGTTCCTCATTTCAGCCACTTTTTAGTATTCCTTTAACTGCATTAACAATCGGTCAGAAAGATGGTTATTTTATTCCGATTAATTGTAATTTATAAGCTACTAGATAAACCACTGTTAAAGTTCACTAATTTTTCTCTTATAAATTATCAAAAAAGGAGTACTATGTATGGCAAGGATTGAATATATAACATCTCTGGGTTACTGCCCTACCTTTGTAAGATTGTCAAAGAGGAAATTGTTAAATAATGCAAATAGTTCTTTGGAATTTCTTATTAATAGGGATCAGACTCATATACTTAAATACTTGATGGCTTTTAATAAATCAGGTAATTTCCCATTGTGAATATTAGGTATGACAGATTATTTAGTTGATATGAAGCATTTTCTTATAAAAATATAAGTGGGCACTGAGTTTCCACACCAGCCCACAACTGTCCTCAATTGTTGTTTATCCCATATGTAATTAGAACATAGTATTAATCGCCAGAGCTTTAGTCTTCAGTCTTGGGATAAAAGACCTTCTGAGATAGAACGTGAGAAATACATACACACACACGTATATGTATGTAGCCCGTGGCTCAGCCGAAGTATGTTTTGAGCCTAATTCATTTTTCCAGGGTATATCTAGGTAAACATTACCTCCTTTCTTCCCCTTCAAACAAAATTCCTCTATCGATTTGGGCTAAATAGTCAAGTCATCATGAAAGGGCAAATAATGGAGTTCCCAAACACGGATGATGTGTGTGAAGCTTATCGTGGCTTATGGAGCATTTTTAACATTGGGTTTATTTGTGAAGTAGAAATTGTTATTTTCATTTAATGCTCACATGGGGAAACCCGCCCGCCCTGAAAAGTTAAAGACGTGAGTGAATGACTTCACGTCCAGTCGCTGATAACCAATAAAGCCAGGTCCTCGCACTATGTATTCTCTATTGTGTCCACCACATGAGATTATACAAGATGTAGGCTTTTTACTTTCCCTTAAATCGTAGGTCACTCGAGTATTCCTGAGCCTTTAGAAGTAACAAACAAAGGATACTCAAGGAAGTAAAATTGCACAGTGATTATTTTCTGGGTTCTCAAGTTTTTTGAGCTGGAAGTGTTATTAAAAATATTATTTTAACCCCTAAGGTTTAAAACCTGAAAGAGGAAACTGGCCCAAAGGACCACATTGTTCAGTTAGAGTTTTAGTGTTAAGACTTTAAACAGTCATGTTATGACTGTTATTGTTTCTTACACAAGTTTGAGGCCATTTCATACATAACTTCCACTAAGTTTTAGAAATTTTAGAAACCTAGTCATCCTAACTTTTCTATTTTTATTAATTTGTGTTTTGTAAACTTTCACTTGTGCAAAGGGTAAGCAAAATAATATATCAAAGAACAACAAAATGAAATTAGAATGTTACATATTTTATTTTGGCATAATTTAGGTAGCTATTTACATATAAACAGTTGCTGGGGAGAAAATACTATATGCTCACTATATAGAACCCAAAACAGCTATTTGGGCATTCTGATTTGTGTTTTAAGGTGAAGATAATAATGCCTTTTAAAAATAATAGCCTATGCTCTGTCCTCACCCTATTCCAGGTTAATGGGGGGGTCTTAGTTTTGGATTTCTGATTCATGAATGGGCTTTCAGAGTTCCTGGACACCCAGAAAATGTATGCAAAATTTTGTGTCCTTTTTTCTGAAGAGTACAAAATAGCTTCTAAAATATGTTCAAAGAAGTCAGTAAACTAACAACCTCTGCTTTATTTCATACCATTTTAATAGCAGAACACTACTTATTTAATAGGTTTAAGAAGCTGCATCTTATTCTTTATCCTATATGTCATTTTAGATGATATGTTTATGGGACTTACACTGGCTGGGAAAAATATAATTTTAAAGGATTGTATACTCCATCTTTACTCATATGCTTTGTGTTTTCTAAACTTTAAAAAAATAGGAACACAACCTATTGGTTCCCTCAGCTCAGTCTCTCCTAGTAGTTATGGAAGTGTGAAAGATTTGTGCACTGAAAAATTTGGCTTCAAATGGTTTTTTCACCTTATTCCTAATGAAGAAACTGTCTGCAGCTTGCTTCTCGGCAACAGAAATGACACTGTCTGGGATGAGTTGAAGGTAATGAACTTTGACTTCTATATCTAGGGGCATAGCCACTCAGAAAGATATGACTTTTTTTTTCACATTGGTGAGCTATGCTCTCCCTGCCCTGTAACTTCTCTAGGTGGTATAGAAAGCAAAAACAACAAAAGTGAGAATTAAAGTGACAAGTACACGCTACAGTCAACCTGGCATGTGTTATCATGTATTATCTCTAGTACTTACAAATAATCTAAACGTCCTTAACAAATGAACTTTTCTTAAGAAATTAACTTGAATGCTCTTTGATGCTAAATGTGTATAATAATTCACATAGATAATGAGTTCTGCAGTCACACCCATCATCCACCTCTTAATAGGATTTGTTGTTCTCTATCAGCAATAGCACATGCAACTTTTATACAGGGAAAGTGATAACCTATGGCATTGGTCACAAGCTTGAAAATTCATGCTCAATTCATTTATCAAGGGTATGCTCAAGGTTATACCCTTGATAAATATTAAAGGTCTATGTGTTTTTAATACAGCTGGGTTTTAGCTATGTTATCATTTCCATAGCAATTTGAAATAAATTTATATTAGTTATTCAGCTAACTTATTTAGACTAAAATAAATGTTTTAGTACAGGTACTAGCAAACCTTGCTTACCCAGTTATTTTTAGACCATTCATTTGTGAATCTCAATTTGCAGAGCTAAATATATATGAAAAATGATATTGATCTTGTCCATGAAAACAAACATTTGTTTAAGATATATTTCTTAATCTCTAATCTTTATTCCAAAATGCATTCATCACACTACAACCTTGGAAACACAGATTTTGTTCTTTTGCAATTAAAATCAGGCTCTTTGCATTTACTGTCTAAGTTGAGAATATGGCTGTATTTTTTTGTGTACCTGATGTCACTGTCTGATTCTGATGATTTGTTTCTCGAGCAGCTCACATGTGAGACAGCACTGCATGTTTTACAGTTAACAATCAAGGAGCCATGTGTTTTGTTGGGAGGTGGCTGTACTGAAACTCACTTGGCAGCATACATCAGACATCAGGTAGGTTTGATAGTCCTCAGATTAGCTGAATTCTTAGCAGTATTCATTTTATGACAAACCGAATCATAATTCCCTAGAGCCCTTAATGCCTAATTTCTCCATTGTCTAAATCAGATATTGTATTGGAAAACACTTGAGGAAAATAACACTTGCAAATATAAGGTAATATCTGTATCACAGTGATTATTATTAATCTAACCTTTTACCAAATGATCACATTCTTTGTGTTTTATCTAAATATTATATGTTGAAATGGGTATTCTGTTAATGGGAATTGTCATATCAGAGATATCAGCTGCTGTGGTATAGCAGTAATTGATATTCACAAGGAAAGTGCTGGATCATCAAGAAAAGATTTAATTTTATTTTTAAAACATTTTAAGTATTATATTCTATTATAATTTTTAAATTGGTATCCATTTATGATATATACTATTTCTATTAAGTAGAATCTTTTTTATTAATCCAGGAAACCATTTCCTAACAAGAGATGAATTTATTGCATTATAGTTCTACTTAGTTAATAAACACTGGCCTACTTTATTTGAAAGTAGACACAAACAGGTATATGTTTCTCAAAACATATTTGCAGATATGAGATATTTGCAATTGATTGTTTGGCTGGTCAAGAATGTTATTAAGAGTCTCTACAGAGCTTCTGGTGGATGCCTGGGACTGGAGAGAGTATAAATGTTTTCTGCAGACATGCCCCACCTTGCTTCCTCAAATAATTTTAAATCTACATGATGCTAAAGTCCATTCATGAAAAGTTATCAGAATATCTATTATGAAAAACAAAATCAGTGTCAATCTATGGATGCTGAATGGGCAATAATATGGTCTGTAAATTGGGTTGAGTAAACTAGAAAAAAATTTTTGGAGGACGAAGATAACCTTGAGTAAGATTTTGAAGTAACAAGTCAGCATTGAAAATATGGAAAAAGAATATTTATTAGAGATTATCTCATCTGGTTCAAACCTCCTGGGTAAGAATTTTTTTAAAAAGTGGTCACTGTTTTTAAGTAGTTAGGTAGGAATTTTTAACAAACATTCAATTATAAGTTTACTAGTATATTACTTTTTTTCTATCATGACATTTCTAGGATAAACTTTTTAGAATGGTGGAACCAAAAAAAACCAGTTTAAAGTCACATTAATTTTCATTAATTTAAAGATGAAGAATATTTTTAAAACATTGATATAAAATTGCACACATTCCTAAATGGTTTTTGTCTTAATACATATGTTCTCATTTTTAACAAATCTCAAGCATTTTTTTTAATATAAGTACTTCACTTAGACATTACCCTTCAGAAACTTCTTCCTGTGTATAAAAACCTGTATGAGCATTATGCCTTGTTCTTCATGTATTAAGGAGGCACTACTGAGCAGTCATTCAGAATAAGTTGATTATGGGACTTATTATTCATTCATTCTGATAACATAACTGTGTATGTATTTTTACTACAAAAAACTAGGTTAAGGCATTAAAGCCTGGCCAGCTGACTCATGTATGCCCATTAGCATTGTGCCAAACCCCTAAATAAATTGAAAGTAAATAGTAACTTTATGAATAAGGGTTTGATCAAGTACTCTATTTTTCAGAAACATTTTTATAATATTAATTGCTCTGTATATGTTTTTAATTGTTCCCTTACTCTTTAGACTCTTAATAAACCAGAAAGCATTCTCAAAGATGGTTGGTGTACTCAAACAGAACTTCAACTAATTACTGAAGCATTTTGCAGTGCGCTAGAATCTCTCACTGGCTCTTTAGAACATGATGGAGGTGAAATTCTCACTGACCTGAAGTATGGACACTTTTGGTCAGTTCAGGCAGATTCTCCCTCTGTTGTTCACTGGCCAGATTTGCTTTCAAGATGTGGCTGTGGACTATACAGTAGCCAGGAAGAACTCAACTGGTCTTTCTTAAGGAGTGCTCAGCGTCCTTTTGCACCACAACCCTGCCTTCCACATGAAGCTGTGGGCTCAGCCAACAACCTGACATTGGACTGTTTCACTGCTAAGCTTAGTGGCCTGAAGGTGGCTGTGGAGACAGCTAATTTGATTTTGGATCTTTCGTATGTCATTGAAGATAAAAACTGATATAAGAAAGTAATTGTTTATATTAAAAATAAACTAGTCAGGTATTAATTAAGAATAATATTGAGTGTATTTGTTCTCTTCCAAAGTCTGTTCTGCATTTTTAATAGATAGCTCACAAAATTACAGATTTACTGATGTAAGGAAAAATGTATTCTTGAATAGAAATACCATAAAATAATAAAAATGTGAAGCATTATTAAAGATACTGTAATTATCTTTGATCTTTTACAGATACCAATGTATGTTGCTCTAAATTTTTTTGTTATTTTGATATTATTCTAAGAACATACAGAAATAAACTCTTAATCTATCCTAATCTATATCTTGGTTTCTATATACTTATTATAGATATTTTTGTTTATAAAATTTGATTCCAAAATATCACAAAGCACCCAGTGCATATTTCTCAATCAAAAGAAGTTTTCAAACTGCATATTTAGTGAAATTTCAGTGTTCTTTTTTTTTTTTTTTTTTAGAGAGGGAAGGGAGGGAGAAAGAGAAACATCAATGTGCAGTTGCTGGGGGCCGTGGCCTGCAATCCAGGCATGTGCCCTGACTGGGAATCAAACCTGTGATGCTTTGGTTAGCAGCCTGCACTCAATCCACCGAGCTATGCCAGCCAGGGCTCAGTGTTCTTTATCTGAGATTATATTCAGTGTTTAGGTAATTGTAGAACCTGATCTACAAGCAATTGCTAGTTCTTTCCACAGTTCTTCATTTCTGTTATTTTGAGGAAATGTATGAATAGTAACTAAGCAGCATAGAGAAAAGAAGTGGAAAAGTTATTTCTCTAGTTCAGTCAGTGTTGCAGAAAAGAGACTAGAGCAGTTCTCATAGTCAAAGTACAGACACTGATGTTTCACCGAGGAACATAATTTGATTTTTATGCAAATGCAAGGTATATTGATAAATTGAAGAAATACAGAATCCAGCTCAAGGAATCAGTGTGGAACTGTAACAGTTGCTAAATTAACCTTTAGGAAAACAGTTTGAAAATTTTTGGAACGTTAAACATCCTGAGAATCAATAATCAGATGTATAGCCATGATAGTGGGAGATATAATTTTTAAGCAATTTTCTACAGTATTCTTGGAATTCAAAAGAAAATTTACCCTGAGCCAAAGAAAAAATTACAGTACAAACTCTCAATAATGCAGTATATATTGGAAAATCAGCTACCCCTCAAGTGTAATCAAATATTTTTCTAAAATTTTACTTTTTTATTATTAGAGTCAAGTAGCAGGGCAATGTGGTAGGCAGCCTCTAAGTTGGCCCCCAGAGATCCCACCTCCTGGGTTTCAGGCCCCTTGGGTGTGGGCTGGATGTAGTGACTTCCGTAAGTCTCAATTTCCCCCTTTCTGTACAAGAATGTCTTATTGAGGTTATTCATGCCTGACCCATCATTATTTGTTGGGAGCATAGGACAGATGACTTGTCTCATTAACTTCATGGGTCTTTAGATGGAGAGGAACTGGGCTCCAGGAGCTGTGCTTAAGAAAATTACACCTGAGGAACTTCACTCACCCTGATCTGATTTCAGTGATGAGATTTTGGACTTCGAACTGATGTTGCAATACAGTGAGACGTTTGGAAATCTGGGAGGGTGTGAATGTATTTTGCAGTAATTTGCATGTAGTCTCTAAGATGGCTGACAATGATCTCACCTTCTGGTAGTCCTTCTTTTGGGTGTGGGCAGGACCTAATGACTAGCTTTTAATGAGTAAAATACAGCAGAAGTGATGGGGTATTACATCTGATGTTAGGTTGTAAAAAGATGGGCTTTTCTCTTGATCTCTCACTTGCTCACTCTGATGGAGGCCTGCTGGCAGGTTGGGAACTGCCCTGTGGAGAGTCTCATATATGGCAAAGGACTGAGTGAGGCTTCCAGCCAACAGCCCACATGGGCCTGGATTTGGAAGTAGATTGTCCCTAGTGTAACCTCAAGGTAGAGTGTGGCCCCTGCCATTTCTGCCACATGAGAGCCCCTGAGGTAGAGGATTTAGATAACCCATAAGATAATGATCAATATTATGTTTTAATGAAAAATTTGAAAAATATGAATCAGACATTAAGTGCATCTTTTCAGTTGCTTTCCTATATAAAAAGAAAAGTAATATTAAAGATATACCAGGTCTGTCTGGAAAAAGTCCCACCATTGTTAATATAATAACAAGGGTGGTTTGGATGACATCAATGTAACCTGGCAGCCAAGGAGAATGGATTGGAATGCACATGCATAAACAATGACGACTCCACTGTACTCCTCAGTGGGAGTGGTAGACACTGTAGAATAAGCATGTGTGCTGGGTGGCCATCACATTCAAAATGATTGAGCAAGGAGAGCAATGAATCTGCATCAGACTTTGCCTTAAACTTGAACATTCCTCTGTGTGGAAATTATTCAGATGATTCAGAAGGCCACAGCTATAGGCAACTGGTGATTGGCAACTTCAAAACAACAACATGCCTGCTCATGCATCACATCTCGTGCAGAGTTTTTTGACAAAACATCAAATCATCCAGGTGTCTCAGTCCTCCTACTGCCCAGATTTGGTGCCAAGTAACTTCTGGCTTTTCCCAAAACTAAAATTATCTTCGAAAGGGCAGAGATTTCAGACCATGATTGGTATTCAGGAAAATACAACAGGGCAGCTAATGATAATTGGGAAAACTGTGGGAGGTCCCAAGGTGCCTACTTTGAAAGGAACTGTGGCTTCATTGTCCTATGTACCATGTTTCTTGTATCTTCTTCAGTAAATGTCTCTACTTTTCATATTTTGCGGCTGGATACCTTTTGGAAAGATGTTGTATGTCTCACTGGCTAGATGATCAGTTCCTTGAGGTCGGGGTTGTGAATAAATCTTTTTTTTAACCTCTAAACTGTTGAGTATTATGTCTGACAAACAAAAAGAGGTCAACTAACATTCCTCAGAATGAAAAGACAACACTTCAAACAAAAATTGCAGGGATAAAATAGAATGTTTATTATAAATATTTCCTCAATGTGAATTTGTAATAGGAGATTGTCAAGTTGCTTTATATCCCTTTTAAGCCACAATTTATTAAGGTGCTAGATTCCACTGTTTTTAGTGCACCTAAATCCACTAAATTATCTCTCCAAAAAATTTTTTTGATCTACACATAGGAATAATTTTCAGGGATTGATTCTTTTGTATCAATATGACTATATTCTTAATAAAGAAGCAAATAAATCTACTTTTAACCCAAAGATACAGGCTAACATTGGATTAGATACTTCTGAACTCAAATTTTGTAGATGACTGGCAAAAATTTCCATGGATTACGGATACCATAGTTACTAATTGGAATCACTTAACTGCATGAAAAAAATTATAAAGATAACAGATTTTCAAAATTGCCTTTTCCTTCAGATTAATATAGATTTATTTTGACAGCTGAACCAGGGTTTTGTAAGAGATGTTTAGTCTCCTTAACTATAACTCAAAGATTATCAGAGGATCAGATTATCAGATTATCAAAGGAATAAAAACTAATTTGATGTTTTGACAGGTCCTTCAGTGATTATGAAAGTGATTTTTGTACTTGATACACTTTAATAACCTGCATGATTTATCTGACTACAAATATTATTGGTTTATTTTAAGTTATCCAAAGAACAGTTCAACAATTTAAGAATACAGAATATGATAGGTCTTATAGAGGTACTTAAAGTTTCTCTTATATCATGTGAATGCCTAACTAGCTTTGACTATACAAACTAAATGAGTTCAAGGGTGCCTATGATAATAAAAGATACTGACAATATATAACTTAAATATACTGTGGAAAATATTTCACTAATAGTTGATTTTAAATGTCTAACATACAACCATAGCTGGTGTGGCTTAGTGGATTGAGCACCAACCTGCAAACCGAAGGGTCACCAGTTCAATTCCCAATCAGGGATCATGTAGCAGGCAAACACACATTGATGATTGTTTCCCTCTCTTTCTCCCTCTCTCTAAAAACAAATAAATAAAATTAAAAAATAAAATGTCTAACATATAAAGATACTCTAACATATGTACAAATGGAAGAGTTAAGGAATTGAAGGTATTTTTAAGACCCAATAAGTATTTTGGTCTAAAAGATTCTTTAAATTTCTGTTAGTTGTCCAATTTTTTCCATGTTGCCAAAATCCTAACCTCTTTTGATTAATAAAATGCTAATCCTGTTTGACTCCTGTGGTTCAATAAATGTTAATGCTACATGTTCTGTGAGTTCCACAAAAGTATTGAGCAGCTGTCACTGACTTCATTCTCTTCTGCATTATTTCCCTTTTCCTTTTTGTAGCTATCAGGCTTTCCCATTCTGTCTCCCAAGGAACTTCATAATACAGTATTCAGACCTCAATCTTACTTTAAGTCACAAAACAGTGCCTGAGGCTTAACTTAGTTGTGTTTTTTTCTTGTCATTTATTTCTGTCAAGTGAGCTCCTGTGAAATTATTTTCATGATTTTTCATCTCATATTTTACCATCCAAGTTTGAATAATGAATTTCTTGAACTGTTAAGGAAGTGGTTTTAAAAATTATTTACAGCTACAGCATAGAGAGTATATTCAATAATATTGTAATAACTATGTATGGTGGTAGCTAGGTACTGGAAATATCAGGGGAACACTTTGTAAAGTATATGGTTATCTAACCACTATGCCATGCACCTGAAACTAATACAAAATAATATTGAATGTGAACTAAGGAAAAAAAATTTGAACTATAAAAGCAATGTCTGTTTAAAAAATTAATTTACAGTATTTTCTAGTAAGGATTGTACACAACTTCAGGAAACGCAAGTTGATAAAACATTTCAACATGATGGAGGTAAAATTCTCAATGACATGAAGTATGGACACTTTCGATCAGTTGAGGTAGACTCTTCCTCTGTTGTTATCTGGCCAGATTTGCTTTCAAGATGTGGCTGTGGACTATGCAATAGTCTGGAACAACTCAACTGGTATGTTGCTTTATAATCTGTTCTTTTACCTAATATATCATATGTAGAATCAAATATATAGAATCATTACACATTCTACTCCACCATTTTTAATGCCTGAAGAAATTTCAGTTGTAGAGTTTATACCATAATTTAGTCAATGAACTTTTATTAGTATACCCTTAGGCTGTTTCAATTTTTGTATTCATATAAACAAAAATGCAGTAAACATCTTATATATGTCCTTTTCTCGTAGCCCTTGTTATTTCCTCAGTATGAAACAAGTCCAAGTGTATTTAAAATGGAAAGGCTATTATACATATATATCATTTGTCTTCCAAAAATGTGGAATAAATATACTCCAACCACAGTGTGTGAGAG